AGAACTGAGGGCTATGTGAGAAGGAACCAGCCATCCTGAGGGCTGTGTGGAGGCAGGAGCAGCACAAGGAGACTCAGAAAAATGGGCCCAGTGTCTTCAGGGAGCTTATCACGGACAGATGGAACGTGGAGATAAAACTGCCACCTCTCATAGGTGGAAGGAAACCTTGCATTCAGACACGGGGCTGGCTGTCTCAGTGGAAGCAAAAATGGAGTAATGCCAACAGCATCTCTAGAGTGTTTGTTTTTTTCCTAACAGTGGTTTCAGTCCTGTCATAGCACGTTGGGTGACTGAGTACATTGATGGTGGCCCTTCCTGCAGGTTTGTGCCCTTCAGATTAGTTCTGTTTGGCTTTGAGGTGCTGTTTTAGAGCCTCGTGCTCCATCTCCTTCAGTGGCGGCCAACCCAGGGAGAATGGCAGGGCCACGGGCTCCATGTTGCAGATCTCTGAAGCCTCTGCTGCTTGGAGCCTGCTGGCCCTCTCCCCTCTGGGAACTGGGCAAGCAGCTGTCTCCTTGGGAACGTGGCATTAGCATGTTTTGCATGAGAATGAACACCAACCAAGGCTGAATATCAATTGGATCCTAGAGTGCAGCTGCCTTTGAAATGTTCCTTTGTGTGGCCCAACTTCCTGCTGCAGTGGATTCCTGGAGCTTGTGCGAAGACACCAAGTCCTTAAGTCATCTTAGTGCCTTGCTTGCTCTATCGCTGGATCTTGCTGTCACCATTTATTTTATCCTTAGAAGTATGGCAAAGAGAAATACATACATATATACAGAGACAAATGTCTACACACAGACACAACAGAGACACACGTACCTACACATGCATACAACATATACAACCTGGCACACACCCACAACATACATCTCCACACAGACACAGCACAGGCACACGTACCCACACATACATACAACACACAACACAGACACACACAACATACATGGACACAGAGACATGCATCTACACACATATACAACCCAGATGTACACATACAACATACATCTACACACAGACATGTACATTCAGACACAACCCAGACTCATACATCTACACGTGCAAACAACCAGACATACACATACAACATACATCTACACAGAGATATACATCTACACACATACACAGCCCAGGCACACACACAGTGTACGTACAGACAGACATTTATACACATACAACATGCATCTACACACATACAACATAGACACAGACAACATCCACACATAGATCTGTGTACATACCCACCAGATGCATACAACATATAGACATGCATAAACACATAGGCATGCATCTGTGCACAAGCACAACATAGACCAGTCACACAACCTACAGAGCTGCCGCTTGGAACCAATTAGAAACAAAAGTTGGAATATGACCCCAGCAGAGGCCCAAATCCCCATTTTTGGTCCTTTTCTTCGTTTGTGTTGGTGACCCTGATTTCCCAGATTCTTATCATCTATGACAATAAAAACCAATTAGTGATTTTATAGTTTGACTTTACAAGGTGGGGGTGGGGGGTGAACTTGGTCCAGACATTGCTGTGCTACTGCAGGTCTGAATGAAGTGCAGTGTTGGGATGGAGCGCCCTGTGCCTCTCTTCTGGCGTGGGAAGTGACAGTGCAGCACACGCCACTCCCCTGAGAACAGAGCACCCAGCTCCTGTAGTTTGGCCCTCTAGGAAGATGGGAAGGAGCCTGTGGGCAGTTTCTGATTAGGAGAGAAGCCAGGAGCCAGCCTGCCATCCAGTTTCTCAGTGGGTCTCTTGCTCCATGTCATTGTTCACTTCTCACGGGGGCTTTGCTCCCTGCAGGTGAGTTCTCTTTCGTTTATGGGTGGATCTCGGAGCACTTCTGCAGAAGGCACTTTGCAAATAGAGTTCCTTTTTAATCAGTGGGTGACCAAAGGCACTTGGATTACTTGGATTTTAGCAATAAATTGTAGTACATTTAATTATCTGTTTCTGGCTGGGAGCGGTGGCTCACACCTGTAATCCCAGCACTTTGGGAAGCTGAGGCAGGTGGATCACGAGGTCAGGAGATTGAGACCATCCTGGCTAACACAGTGAAACCTGTACTAAAAATACAAAAAAATTAGCTGGGCGTGGTGGCGGGCACCTGTAGTGCCAGCTACTCGGGAGGCTGAGGCAGGAGAATGATGTGAACCCGGGAGGCAGAGCTTGCAGTGAGCCAAGATCACACCACTGCACTCCAGCCTGGGTGACACAGCGAGACTCCGTCTCAAAAAAAAAAAAAAAAGATATCTGTTTGATCTGTTTCTATGATGTGGTGATGTGATAGGGTTTGGCTGTGTCCCCACCCAAATCTCATCTTGAATTGTATTTCTGAGAATTCCCACGTGTTGTGGGAGGGACCCGGGGGAAGTAATTGAATCATGGTGGTTGGTCGGGCTGGTCTTTCCCCTGCTATTCTCATGATAGCGAATAAGTCTCACAAGACCTGATGGGTTTTTCAGCGGTTTCCGCTTTTGCTTCCTCCGTTTTCTCTCGCCACTGCCATGTAAGAAGTGCCTTTCACCTCCCGCCTTGATTCTGAGGCCTCCCCAGCCATGTGGAACTCTAAGTCCAATTAAACCTCACTTTGTTCCCAGTTTCGGGTATATCTTTATCAGCAGCGTGAAAACGAACGAATACATGGCACTTTTAAAGAACAGGTACCGGTACTTTCAAGTGGGTCTATGGGTGCTATATTTCAGGAGTTTTTAAAGGGAAAAAAAGTTCAAGTGTACCTCAACTCTTTGGAATGAAATGAATTATTGAATGCTGAAATATTGAGGCTGGGCACAGTGACTCACACCTGTAATCCCAGTACTTGGGAGGCCCGGAGGCCAAGGCAGATGGATCCGTGAGTCCAAGAGTTTGAGGCCAGCCTGGGCAACATGGTGAAACCCCATCTCTACAAAAATACAAAAATTAGCTGGGTGTTGCGGTGGGAGGATCACCTGCCAAGGCGGTGGAGGCTGCAGCGAGCCCAGATAGTGCATTCCAGCCTGGACAACAGAGTAAGACCCTGTCTTACACACACACACACACACACACACACACACACACAAAGGAGGAAGGAAGGGAAATGGAATATTGAATACTAAACCATTGAATATTGAAATGCAATGTGGGGGAGACATCTGACCTGTGAGAGCACTTCTCAGAATGCAGGTCAATTTGGCAGTATTTTAATGCCATTCTGTGTTTTGTAACCAGACAGATGTATTGTTCTGTAACCCATGCATAGCTGTGTTCAAATTTTGTTTTGTTTTGTTTTGTTTTGAGATGGAGTCTTGCTTTGTCACCCAGGCTGGAGTGCAGTGGTATGATCTCAGCTCACTGCAACCTCCACCTCCCAGGTTCAAGCAATTCTCATGCCTCAGCCTCCCGAGTAGCTGGGATTACAGGTACACGCCACCATGCCTGGCTAATTTTGTATTTTTAGTAGAGGCAGGGCTTCACCATGTTGGCCAGGCTGGTCTCGAACTCCTGACCTCAAGTGATCTGCCCGCCTCGGCCTCCCAAAGTGCTGGGATTACAGATGTGAGCCACTGCGCCCAGCCGTTCAAGTTATTTTGATAACACTTCAAGCTAGGAGTTTCTGTTAGTGTCTGCCTGGTGCACATGAGAAATCCGACTTTCTTGAGTGGGGTTGCTGTTGTCTGAAGCTCTGAGGTTGAGCTATTTGGTTACAGCTTGTTTTCTAAGCCTGTGCTGTGTCTTCAGCCTCCTCTAAGCTGGGAGCAGACCTACCCTCCCAACACTTTGGGACCAGACCTCTCAATACTTTGGGAGGCCGAGGCAGGTGGATCGCTTGAGGACAGGAGCTCAAGACCAGCCTGGTTGGCCGGGCGCAGTGGCTCAAGCCTGTAATCCCAGCACTTTGGGAGGCCGAGACGGGCGGATCACGAGGTCAGGAGATCGAGACCATCCTGGCTAACACGGTGAAACCCCGTCTCTATTAAGAAATACAAAAAACTAGCCGGGCGAGGTGGCGGGCGCCTGTAGTCCCAGCTACTCGGGAGGCTGAGGCAGGAGAATGGCGTGAACCCGGGAGGCGGAGCTTGCAGTGAGCTGAGATCCGGCCACTGCACTCCAGCCTGGGTGACAGAGCGAGACTCCGTCTCAAAAAAAAAAAAAAAAAAAAAAAAGACCAGCCTGGCCAACATGGCGAAACCCCATCTCTACTAAAAATACAAAAATTAGCCGGGCATGGTGGTGCATGCCTGTGGTTCCAGCTACTCGGGAGACAGGCAAGAGGATCACTTGAACCCAGGAATTTGAGACTACCCCGGGCAACACAGACCCCATCTCTACAAAAATTTTAAAAGTTAACCAAGCATGGTGATGGGCACCTATAGTCTTAGCTACTTGTAAAGCTGAAGTGGTAGGATTGCTTGAGTCCAGGAGTTCAAGGCTGCAGCATGCTATGATCACGCTACTGTACTCCAGCCTGGGCAACAGAGCGAGACCCCAACTCTTATTTGTTGGTCTTAATTTTCATAATGCAGTACTGATTTTCAAGGTTTTATTAAATAAGTGATTTGCAGCTCATCTTAGAAAGGTTTACCCCTTTGTATATGGCAATTTTCCATAAGCCACATAAAAATACTGTGACTTGAAGTAAATATTTCTGAATCTAGCCCTATGTGAGCATTTCCACAAACATTCATGTTGTTTCTGAAATTTTTGTTCATTTGTTCCTGCAAAAACAAATGCAATTTGTGTGTGCATGTGTGTCTGTGTGTGATGTGTGCACCTGTGTCTTGAATGCTTCATGTTCCCTTGTGGGACATGCCAGTCGACAGCCTCATGTTGTCCGAGGTGTGTCACGACTCCCCACCTTGCATGAGGAGTTGCGGTGGCGACGGGTGTGGGAAAGTGCATGTGGATTTAACTGCTGAAAGTGGCTTCAGGGGATTGTGAAGATCCAGGTCCAGTCCTTTGTGGTGGGAAGGTGTTATTGGAATTGTTGATTAATTTGTACTTGTTCTTCCTCTAGACAAGCAGATGTCCAGTGTTGGGAAGGCAGCCCAGGATCACAGCAGCACCCACCGAGTCAGAACGCACCGAACCCACCCGTATTCTCTGAACCATCTCACTCGCAGGGAGCCCCAGAGCTGCCCCAGGAGGGCCGGGGCCGAGCAGGAACCCTACCTCGAGATTATAGATACTTGGAGGAGAGCATCCCAGCAGACTTGGGACCCCGAGCCCATAGCCCTGGCTCACCCCTGCATGCTCGAGGACAAGACTCGTGGCCAGTGAGCTCAGCCCTGCTTGCCAAGAGGCCAGCCCCACAGAGGCCACCGCCACCCAAGCGCGAGCCCAGGAGATACAGGGCCACAGACAGCGCACCTACCGACGCACCCCTGGCCGTCCTTGGCAGGCCCTTCCCAACACCGTCCCCTGCATCCCTGGATGTGTGTGTGGCCCGTCTGTCCCTCTCCCGCAGCCCCTCTGTGTTCAGCAGTGCCCAGCCCCAGGACATCCCGAAGGCCGCTGCCTGTGAGTGTGGAAGCCAGCATGTGAGTGGGGACACATCCCTTCCTCTGCCAGAAGCACCGCTCCCTCCCAAGCAGCAGCACCTGCGCCTGCAGACGGCCACCATGGAGACCTCGCGCTCCCCCTCGCCCCAGTTCGCTCCCCAGAAGCTGACGGACAAACCTCCTCTGCTCATCCAGGATGAGGATTCAACCAGGTACTGTCCTGCCACAGTGTTCCCTCCCTACGAGGCTCCTTCCGTGAGACACAGGTTCTCAGTGGGTCTTTCTGGGGAGACACCTGGGCACCTTGCTTTAGCTCAAGGCGTTGGACTCAAAGTCAGTCCTGGGGAATAACTGCGTGGACAGAAAGTGAAACTTCAGTGGTGGTTGGATTTCTATCTCATTGAGGGGCTGCTCTTTCCTATAGGGAACAGGGGTAGATGTGAATAGGTGGTTCATCTTCCCCTTTTTCCAAGCCAGATACATTTATAGCTGCATTACCCACAGGCATCTGCAGGGTAGAGGTATGTTTTGTTGTTGCTGTTGTTGTTGTTGTTTTAATGCAGTCAATATTTGTGATTGGAATTGATTTGAATGTAAGCATGCCACCGTTAGGTGAAATTGGTAACATTGTAAAGTTCTGAAAGGAAAGTATCTTACTCCTTTCAGGCTGCTCTAGTAAAGATCTCATAGCCTGCACGGCTTGTTAACAGTGTTTTTCATGGTGTCTAGTATTTTCTTACTCCTTTTTTTCCAGATTTTTTTTTAAATGTTAGAAAGCTAAGCTGGTATACACCTTTTGTTAAAGCAGAAGAATACTCATTCACGTTTCATGGTGCTATCAGGATTTCAGGCATGGAATTATTGCGTCCATTGAGATGTTGGTAAATGTCAGGCAGGGACTTGACCTTTCAAGAGCGCTAGGCCCAGCATGGTAGCTCACATCTGTAATCCCAGCACCTCGAGGGATCAAGGCAGGTGGACTGCTTGAGCTCAAGGAGTTCGAGGCTAGCCCAGGCAACATGGCAAAACCCTGTCTCTACTAAAACTACAAAAAATTAGCCAGGCATGGTGGTGCATGCCTATAGTCCCAGCTTCCCAGGGAGGAGGCTGAAGTGGGAGGATCACCTGGGCCTGGAGGTCAAGGCTGCAGTAAGCCAGGAGGGCACCACTGCACTCCAGCCTGGGTGACAGAGTGAGACCTTGTGCAAAAAAGAGCACTGGCTGTTTAGCTTTTTTCACACACAAACACCACCTCCTTGAGTGCCTTGAAGGACTGAGAAATGAAAGAAGGGGAGAATTTCTGTCTCATCCTCTAGAGCAGTGGCTCTCAACCTAGGAGGTAGAGGGCGATTTTAGCCCCTAGGGGACATTGGGCAATGTCTGGAGATAGTTTTTGTTGTCCTAAGTGGGATGGGAGTAGGGGGTGCTCTCTGCATCTAGTGCTGGAGCCCAGGGAGGCCGCTCAGGGTCTGCAGTGCGTGGACAGCCCCCACAGAGCATTGTCTGACTGCAGATGCCAGCTGCTGTTAGGCTGGGAACCCTGCTGTAGAGCTGCACGCCCAGTACAGGACCCACCGTCACCTGTGCTGTGTAAATGTGGAGCAGAGAAAACCAAGTCGATGAATGCGGGTCCTCGGTCACACCAGGTGTGGAGGGTGGCTGCCGTCCTGGACAGGACAGATAACAGGTATTCCCATCACCGCAGAGAACTCTGTGGGACCTCACTGCTCTAGAGTCTCAAGTCATTTTTTTTCTTAGCTTCTAAGTAACTCAGCAGAGAAAGGATATGACTGATACTGATCTTGTATCTCCAGCTGAGGCGTTGTAACCACAGCTTTCTCTGTGGGCCAAAACTGGGCGTTGCATCATTTAAAATGTATCTAAAGATCACTCAGATATCCTTTCAATTGGTAACATTGTAAGGTTCTGAAAGGAAAGTATCTTACTCCTTTCAGGCTGCTCTAGTAAAGATCTCATAGACTGCACGGCTCATTAACAGGAGAAATTTGTGAGTTGATGAGGGCTGGTTGCTGGAAGGTCCGATCCACTGTGTTCTGTCCTTATTTTGAAGTCAAGGCTTGTGAAACTGTTCTCATGTGGAAGTCAAGAGCGTTTTTAAGAAGAGAGACCATTTCTATTAAAAAATGATCAGGAATAGATGCTTTGTTGGAAAGTGTATGTGAACCTGTGGGAGACAGGAGATTTGGTTTTTTCTTTCCCAGTATTTTATTTTATATTATTATTATTATTATTATTATTATTATTATTATTATTATTCCCTGTCGCCCAGGCTGGAGTTCAGTGGTGCGATCTTGACTCCTGGGTTCAAGTGATTCTCCTGCCTCAGCCTCCCGAGTAGCTGGGATTACAGGCACACGCCACCAAGGCAGGCTAATTTTTGTATTTTTGGTAGAGACGGGGTTTCACCATGTTGGCCAGGCTGGTCTCAAACTCCTGACCTCAGGTGATCTGCCTGCCTCGGCCTCCCAAAGTGCTGGGATGACAGGGGCGAGCCACTGCGCCCAGCCTCTTTCCCAATACTTTAAAACCTGTGAAGGGAGATTTGTTTGTGTTGTTTAATTTTTTCTATTGTGCACATCAAATTTCTGCACAAAAGGGGGAGGATACCAACACAGGCTGATGTGAAAGTCAGTAATAGGCAAGCAGAGCTTCTATGGGGGGATGAAGGGAGTGCAGAGGTTCTGCGTTTGCTGCTGCTTGGATAAGGTGGCCGGGTTTTCCTCCTCCTTTTATTATTATTTCTTAACAGAGAGGTAGGGGGGTGGTCTCACTGTGTTACCCAGGCTGGTGTCAAACTCCTGGGCTCAAGCAGTCCTCCCACCTCAGCCTCCCACAGTGCTGGGATTCCAGGTATGAGCCACTGTGCCTAGCCAGGGTTTTCCTTTATAAGTCTGACCTATCTAAACGGTATTTTCCACAGTTAGACTTTGTAAATTTTCTTCATGAGGAAGCAGTTGTGAGGTGTCTGTCAGTCCCTAGATAAAACACATCAGATGTTAATGGACCCTACTGGAGAGAGGGAGGAAAATACACAGTTAGTTCATCTCAGCCTGAGCACCACTCCCTTGATAGGGAACGAGCCCTCCTGCATTCCCAGTCACCAGTGAAAGAGGGAAAAACAGCATGAAATTTAGAGCATCGTGGCTGCCCTCGTGCTGTGGAAAATTTGATTCATTTGCGTAACGTCGTAGGGGCAGTTTTGGGTTGACTTCATTAGAACCACATCCTAATTTGGGGTTGTGGAGTTTGGCCTGTTTCTTTTTGCTTCCCTCCTGACCACTAGCATATGGGGCTGCTTCTCCAGTGCTTTGAAAAGCTCTTGGCTGAGTTGGCCCTGGTCAGCGTGGTCCAGCACGGTGCTGCTGAGAGCAGCAGGTGCAGGTCTGCCCCAGACAAGGGACTGTGGCATTGCCGGGCCCGTTCCTCCCGTGCTCTCTCCCCCAGTCTCCCAGGGGTGCTTTAGGTGCCTCTCTAGTCCCTTTCATCCGGAAACTTTTTTTTTTTTTTTTTTTTGAGATAGAGTCTTGCTCTGTTGCCCAGGCTAGAGTGCAGTGGTGCGATCTCAGCTCACTGCAACTTCTGCCTCCCAGGTTCAAGTGATTCTTGTGCTTCAGCCTCCTGAATAGGTGGGATTACAGGTACTCACCACCACACCCAGCTAATTTTTGTATTTTTAGTAGAGACAGGGTTTCGCCATGTTAGCCAGGCCGGTCTCGAACTCCTGACCACAAGTGATCTGCCCGCCTTGGCCTACCAAAGTGCTGGGATTACAGGCATGACCCACCACACCTGGCTGAAACTTTTTTTTAAAAAAGCATATCTGTGCCCTTTGGGAGTAATACAGAACCGATGACTCCCTGCTTACTGCGAGATCATATCTCACTGGTGTGCAAATCTGTGCAACACTAGCTTGAAGCACAGGGGGACGGGGGTACAAGGATAGTGTGGAGTGGGCTGCCCTGCACATGGCACAGGAACTTCTCCTGAGTGGGATGGTGGGGGGCTCTGGCCTGACTCCAAGCACAGCCACTCCAGAGAGGAGCTCTCCCCAGGCCCTGAGAAGTACGCAGGAACCCGCGGAACTGCAGCAACCTAAGGACAGATGGGAATCCTGGAAAATGCCCATCCACTGCAGGCTTCACCTACAAAAGAACGTTTAACCAAACAGGGCTTGTTAAAGTTTGCATTATCATCGGCGGAATGACAAATGGTATTAACCAGTCCTCACAGCCCCCCACAAACCCCTGGAGGACACCTCAGGATGCCTCAGGGGTGACATTGGCAGTTTGAGCATGGAAAGGATGCTGGGGTTGGAAGGCGGAGGCAGGAGTCAGAGGGAGCTTCTTGAGGCCTCTGTCTCATCCAGGATGTGCGATCATGGAGGCTCCTTCAAGTCAGGTGGCTGGCTAGTGCCTTGGAGTCAGGTTCCCATCCGAAGGGGAGGGCAGGGGATGCGTCAGTCGGGGTCTGTGGCTGGAGCATGCTTTGCGATTTCAGCAGACTGTTTTTCTTCCAGAATTGAGCGGGTGATGGACAACAACACCACGGTGAAGATGGTGCCCATCAAGATCGTGCACTCGGAGAGCCAGCCAGAGAAGGAGAGCCGCCAGAGCCTGGCACGCCCTGCTGAGCCACCCGCCCTGCCCCGCGGGCTGGAGAAAGACCAGATCAAGACGCTGAGCACGTCGGAGCAGTTCTACTCCCGCTTCTGCCTGTACACGCGTCAGGGTGCTGAGCCCGAGGCCCCACATAGGGCCCAGCCAGCTGAGCCCCAGCCCCTGGGCACCCAGGCGCCCCCCGAGAAAGACCGCTGCGCCTCCCCTCCGGGGCTCAGCTACATGAAGGCCAAAGAGAAGACTGTGGAAGACCTGAAGTCGGAGGAGCTGGCCAGGGAGATTGTGGGGAAGGATAAGTCCCTGGCCGACATCCTGGATCCCAGTGTGAAGATCAAAACCACCATGGACTTGATGGAAGGTATCTTCCCCAAAGACGAGCACCTCCTGGAAGAAGCCCAGCAGCGGAGGAAGCTGCTCCCCAAAATCCCCTCTCCTAGAAGCACAGAGGAGAGGTAAGTAGACGTGGCCTGCCAGCTTCGGCGTGACTCTGCCTGGCATCTCTTAAACTTGTAAAGGGAAAGGGGGCATGCCTCTCTGTTTTCATGTGTGCTTTTGGGGAAGACAGATTTTCGTAAGGGCTCCTCGATACTTAGCACTTTTTGACTTTTTTGTGAGCCTCCTGAAAGAGGAATGGAGGGTTCACGGCCCCATCCCAGGGAATGATGACTTTGGCCCTGACATGAAAATCCACACTGCAGGCCACCACGCCTTGGCCTGAGGCCAGCAGGATTTCTGATGATGGCCACAAGTCTCCTTTCTCGTAAGACAGCTGTTCTCAATGGGGCCGTTGTCTACCCTGGGGGACAGTTGGCAATATCACTGTGGGGAGGGGTGCTCCGAGCATCTGGTGGGTGGAGCCTGGGGATGCTGCTCAACATCTACAGTACACAAGAGGGCCCCCACCACAGAGAGTCATCCAGCCCCCACATGTTCCTAGTGCCAACATGAGAATGAAGGCTTAGATTGAATATATATGTGGTTCTTTATGAAATGGATTTTTAAAACTTTATTTGAAATTTTTTTTACATCTGCATTAAAAAAAAAGTATTATAATTTGGCCATGCGTAGTGGTGCACACCTGTAATCCCAGCACTTTGGGAGACCAAGGTAGGCGGATCATTTGAGCCCATGAATTCAATACCAGCCTGGGCAACATGGCAAAACCCTGTCTCTACAAAAAGTACAAAAAATTAGCCAGGCATGGTGGTAGATACCTGTAGTCCCAGCTACTCGAGAGGCTGAGGTGGGAGGATCACTTGAGCCCAGCAGTTGGAGGCTACAGTGAGCTATGATGGTGCCACTGCACTCCAGTGTGGGCGACAGAGCAAGACCCCATCTCTTGAAATAGAAAGGAAAAAAAATTATGACAATTTACACCTGCCTGAACGAATGTATTTTAATTGGTTTTGTAAGTAGCACTTTCAGCATATCTCCTTCAGCCGCTTGACCACAAAGGCATGTGTGGTGGCATCTTCCCTGCCGCTGACATACATTCTGCCAGCACAGCATCATTCATGGGTGGGAAGGTGGAGTGGGTGTGACACACAGCCAAGGAGGAGCAGCTAGACCAAGTGAACCCAGGCAGGAGGGCGCCAACAGGGCTGCTGGGAGGAAGGGAGATGGGTTGGTGTTTGTAGATAGCATCACACGTGCCCTTGTCCTCATCATCCCAGGCTCCTGGTAGAGGTGATCTGTGCTCTCACCTCTATGGCAGAGAATTTTAGACATTCCTGCTTATTTGAGTTTTTGCCGTTTTTAAAAACTACATTTCCTACACTTACGAGTATCCATTTGGCAGGGTTGATGGTTTTTAGTTTTAACCTTGTTACCTACTTATTTTTCCCCATTTGGCTGTCTCATCTCCCTGGCTGGTGTCCTTTTGTGAGCGCCAGCGTTGATTTGTCACAACCCAGGGAGTGGGGCGGAGGGGCTGTTTGCATGCACAGTCCCAGCTCATTGACGTTCCCACGCCTTTACCCAGGAAAGAGGAGCCCAGCGTGCCTGCGGCCGTATCCCTGGCCACCAATTCTACCTACTACAGCACGTCGGCCCCCAAGGCGGAGCTGCTGATCAAGATGAAGGACATGCAGGAGCAGCAGGAGCGTGAAGAAGATTCGGGGAGCGACTTGGACCATGACCTGTCGGTAAAGAAGGTAGGAGAGCCCATTTCAAATGACAGTGTGCGCGTGTCCAGGCAGGGGCAGGCATCCGGACCACACCATCCTACCCCAGCGCAGACCCTGTACCACGTGTCCCAGGGCGTTTGTGTTCAGCTTTCACTCAGGACAGTGGAATTTGAGGTGATATTAATGAAGCCCTCTGTGGTTAGTTCTGTGTTCTAATCTTGACCCATTCCACCAACATCTCTTTGCTGTTTCAGTAGGATCCAGTGTCAAATTAGTTTAGTCACCATTCTTTTTCATTTTATCTTATTTATTTTTGAGACAGGGTCTTGCTCTGTCGTGCAGGCTGGAGTGCAATGGTGTGATCATGGCGCACCACAGCCTTGACCTCCTGGCCTCAAGCGATCCCCCTGCCTCAGATAAAGGAAAATTATTTTCAAATTAGAAAGTGGTAACTTTTTTTTTTGGACGGAGTCTCCCTCTGTCGCCCAGGCTGGAGGGCAGTGGCACAATCTCGGCTCACTGCAACCTCTGCCTCCCAGGTTCAAGCAATTCTCCTACCTCAGCCCCTCGAGTAGCTGGGATTACAGGCGCCCGCCACCAAGCCTTGCTAATTTTTGTATTTTTAGTAGAGACAGGGTTTCACCATGTTGGCCAGGCTGGTCTCAAACCTCAAGTGATCCACCCACCTCAGCCTCCCAAAGTGCTGGGATTACAGGCGTGAGCCTCTGCTTCCGGTCTAGAAGGTGATAACTTTTTGGTTCAAGGTATTAAAAAGAAAATGAAAATTAAGGGTTTGAGTCTTGGGGCTTTTACGGGCCCTCCGTCTGGCACAGGGTACCATTCGCTTCATTCTGGCTGCACATTCCTCTTTTGAAAAATAAAGAATCCAAAACATGTTCAGTTTTTCCACCCAGAACCAGGAAAATCATACCGTCTGGACCATTTGAATTTGGGCCACACCCTGCCTGGATGTAGAGAACTGCATTCTTTGCTCGCATGCCTTTGTTTTTCATGATATAATGAATTTCAGAAGCTGCATGCCTTGATTCTGCCGCCCTCATCTGTGGGGCACTCTGTCCACCTGCTTTGGGAGGCTGGAGATGCTGGGAAGCCACCTCACCAGAAGTGTGGCTCCGGAACTGAGTGAGTCACTGTGGCCTGGAAGTTGGCCTCACTTTAGTTCAGCAAGCGTGAGTTGGGCATCTGCACCAGAAGCACATGCTATACATCCCAGCTCTCTATGGTGCTGGTGACTCAGCGGTCCTGTTTTCCTGCTTGATTTGACAAAGTGGCCACTGCTGTATTACATTTTCTCCCTGCTTTCCCGCAGCCACACACTTATGATGTCGCACATTCCTGCAACACGTGCACAGGCGGAGGCATGTTCAGGGAGGAAGCGAGTACAGCACAGGTGGGGACTTAGCAGGCCACCTGCTCTGTAGCTGCTTCAGGGGAACACATGAGACCCGAATTCCGCAGGCTTCCAACATTCCCAGGGGGACCACAGTTGTCCCAGTCACCGCGTTGCTAGGTGGTCATAGAGCTGAGAGCCAAATCAGGGGACCCTCTATTTTAGGAGAAGACTAAGGACAGAGGTGAGAGAGTGGAAGTCCCAGGCAGGGATACAGCAGGGGACTCCGGTGGCTGGTAGAGAAGCAGCACGCAGAGACGACAAAATATGGTTTTATACTAGGGTAGCTCAGAAGGACTCTGCCTAGAAAAGAGAGCACCATGTTGAGTTGTGGGGCTTCTTCAGGAGAAGCAGATGGCTGATTGCTTTAAGTTTGGAATCTTTGAGAATTATGGCTTTTCCCTGCAACCAGGAGGTGAGTGCAGGGCCCAGACAGAAAAGACCTTGTTTCCCCCATAGAAGGGAATAAAAGGTGGAGGAAGGGAATGGCCCAGGGCTCAGTCGCCCTGAGCCTCGGCCCATCTTAGTGAAGGGGTGAGAGTGGCTGTGTGCCTGGTCTCTACTGTTGCAGGCTCTTACCTGAGCCTCCCGGAAAGCCACATGCTGCAAGAAATAGCAGATGGGCCTCCCATACAGTACGGACCACAGTGGTGAGCCCTTCAGCACCCTGGGTGGTGTGGACAGCCACAGATCTGTGCGCTGTCCCAGGCCAGGTCTTGTCTCAGAAATCTTTGAAAGCCAACAGTTGCTCTTTATACAATGGCCCTTTAACAAAGGGGAAATGGTTTCAATAAAAATGTGCATGTGACACGTAAAAGAACCAATACAGAAATCTGGACTCCTTCCAGAGAGCCCAGTTTCAAATTAGCTCAACTGAGGTAGATTTTGAGGGCACGTGTTCATGCACCGTATAAAATCTACATTTCCGTAATTGCTGGAGAAGAATGGCACTGAAAAATTCCTGAACAGCCCTGACGGGCGTCCTTCCATATCCACAGTTACCTGCATTGCTTACAGTCTTCCTTCAGGCTAGCATTAGTATCAGATAGGAATTTGGGAAGTTCTTCATGCCTATTTCCTGTTTTGTGCTTTTCCCTCAAGTGATGAGTATCTAAAATTTGGCCACATTCTCAGCTGTGAGATTCTCGATTTAAACAGTCTCTCCAGATAGGTCGTGAGTAGGAAAAGGTACAAACTGCTTTTCCTCTGCTCTCACGCCACAGCAACCAACACAGAAGACTTTGGTGACCACATGTGTGAGGGGGGTTTTCCCACACACCCAGCAAGCAGTCACTTCTGCAGCGGACACCAACTGGGTAGCCTCTGATTCAGTTCAGTTGTGACACTATCAAACTGGAGGTAGCGTCATATCCCACAGGTTGAGGGCTCGGTCCCCAAGACTGCACCCCCCACACACACCAGTCGCAAGTCTGAGTCTCAGGGACTTCTGACCAACCACCTACAAGTTGGGGTTCCCATGACCCCTGTTTAGTTTCCATTACTTTGCTAGAGTGGCTCACAGAACTCAGGGAAACATTTACGTCTATGATAAGGAGTGTTACAAAGGATACAGATGAAGACATGTGTAGGGCGAGGCATTGGGAAAGGGGTGTAGAGGAGCTTCCATGCCCTCCCTGGGTGCTCCACCCTCCAGGAACCTTCCTGTCTTCACCCGTCAGGATTGCCCTAGCCCTGTCCTCTTGGGCCTTTAATGGAGTCCTCATTGGAGAGGCCTGGTAGACATCTGTGTAGAAATGTGATTGAACAAAAAGACTACAATCCAGTCCTAACAGACTGCGGAGAAAGCCACAAGGTCTGCCTATTGAGATTCTTGTTGGCCTCTCTATGTAGCGTTCCTTCCCCCTAGGTGTACCGCAGGACCCTTCGAGAAGATGGGGATCTTAAGACCTGCAGTCATTCAAGGGGCCAGAAGATTTCTTTACGGAAAGGTTGGAGAAGATTAGATCCTGCTTTGGGCAGGTCAAAGAGGGCAGGAGAAGGTCAGGGAGCGAGAGTCTGTTTTCTGAGGCATAAAGCACCCCAACATTATAACGAGGGCTGTGGGAATGATGAGCCAGGAACTGTGGACAAACCCCAATATAGATAGATAGGTAGATAAATATCTATACGTATATTGCATCACAGGTAGGTGAACAGAAACACAGATATATAGACACATACAGAGGAAATAAAGGGAAAAGAAATCTAGACACATACGTGTTTAAAATGGTGAGGGAAGAAAATGTCTTGGCATCCTGAGCAGCTGTAACCTGACCTGGAGAAGCCAAAGCAACGTCTCCATTCCATGTGGGCTTTCTGGGAGAAAGCGGTGCTGGTGACTCAGCAGCCAGGGTGGATGCATCCTGCGAAACTGCTTTCCGCTTTCACCTGTAGGAGAGGCAGACTGAAAAACCCAAGGCGGACTGAACCAAGAGGAGGCAGTCCCCCGATAAGAGCTCATACCTACCTTCACATTTCTTCACATTTTGGGGGGATATATAAATGCTAGGTGGAGATTCTCTTTAAAAGCATCTGTGTGTGTCTGGGCACAATGACTCACACCTGTAATCCTAGCACTTTGAGAGGCTGAGGCAGGAGGATCACTTGAGCCCAGGAGTTTAAGACCAGCCTGGGCAACATGGGGAGACCCTGTCTCTACAAAAGTAAAAGAAAATTATCTAGGTGTGGTGGTGCATGCCTGTGGTCCCAGCTACTTGGGAGGCTGAGGTGGGAGGATCGGTTGAGCCCAGGAGGTCACTGCTGCAGTAAGTGGTGATCATGATCATGCCACTGCACTCCAGCCTGGGCAACAGAGTGAGACCCTGTCTCAAAAAATAAAATAATAAAATAAAATAAAATAGAAGTATCTATGTGAGGGAAAGACCTCACGCAATCAGGAAATAGGCTGCCTCGTATCTAGCACGTGTCTCTCCTGCTGTGGGGTTGACTTTTCCTGCCTAATACTCATCCGCCTGGTCATTTTACCTGTAGATTATGGAATCAGGGCAGTTGCTCCTCATCCCAGATCCCATTGTTGATGAGAACTGATATCTCCTGGGGACTTACTGGATCTGAGCATTGGGCTAAGCGCTTTACACACCGCCATCCCATTCACCTTCATGCCAGTCCCAGAGGTAGGGCTGCGACCCCTGTGCTGCTCTTGGACACTTCTATCCCTCAGAGCTCAAGCGAGACTTCAGTCTCTCATCCATCCAGGCCCAAGCATGAGCCACTCTGCTGAGCTCTGCAGACCCACTGGGGTCAGAGTCTGTCAGCTTCCCCAGGGAAGGGATGATGGCACTGACGATTGCCGAGGATCCACTTTGCATGCAATAGTGTTGCTTGTTATGACAAAGTGAGCTTTCCTGTTCACATTGACTGTTGAGTTCATTTTGATCGGTGCACCTGAGCACTCTTCAGTGTCCGTCCTCCTGCCGCGCGCTCCCCAGAGCGTGTGCTGGCATCACAGTCCCGAGCGAACCACAGTGGTGGTGGATGTGAGGCTGGTGTCGTCAACAGCATCTTGGGCAGGGCTGGTGGCAGGGAGAGTTCTTGAAAGGCAGCACATGACCTTTGTCCTAAACATTGCTTCCTCACAATTCACCCTGCCCAGGCA